ATGAAAATATAATTATAGCAGGAATCACGGCAGCATTGATCCACCTGTGGCTCGGTCCTTGTAGCCCCCTGCCATGGGCACTGTGAGATGGAGCTGTGGCTGGCACAGCCCACCGCTGGCTTCACCGGGACCAGATCCCACATTACAGCCAGGAAAGGTGTCCCTGGCAGCCTGTTTGTCACTGTTTGTCCCTTGTCACCTGGCTGGGTGACTGGAGAGGTGTTACCGGGACAATGGGACAATGCCCAGCCCAGCTGCTGCCACGCTGGGCATGGAGGTGGCAGCTCCAGCCTTGCCACCCCCTGTCGTGTCCCCGCCACGAGCCGACAGTGACATCTAGTGACACCAAAACACTCCAAAAAGCCCCGGGTATGGAATCATCCCAAATTCCCAACCCGGTTCCCACCACCTGGTCCTTGAGGAGCGGGGCAAAGCCTGAGGGACGTGAATCAGTAAATACAACCAAACCCGCGTTTTGGTGGATTTTAGGCTTTGCAGACCACCAAGCAGGAGGCAGCAGGAGGAGAATGGCCACTTTAGCGTGTTTTGAAGGTTGTTTTTTTGGGGGGAGAAATCGTGCCAATTTTGGGTGTGCAGGGCAGTGGGTGATTCCTCCTCTCCCTATGAGGGGGCATCCCCTCCTGTGAGGGGGTACCTTGTGTTCCTGCCTGATAGGGCTGTGATGGCTATTCCCCTGCCATTAAAGAATAATAATAATTAATAGAGGCTGCATTAAATGTTTTTTTTTGGAAAGTCTGGTCAGTTTGGGGTGCGCAGGGCAGCGGGAGATTCCTTCTCTCCCTGTGAGGGGGCACCTCCTCCTGTGAGGGGGCACCTTGCGGTCCCACCTGAGAGAGCCGCGACGGCTATTCCTCTACCACCAAATAATAACGATTAATAAGGGAGAGGCAGTAAAACTCTTTTACGATTCGGGGTGGCTGTGGAAGCGCCCCGGCGCCGTTTCGGAGCGTTTTGGCGGTGTTTTTGGAGCGTGGCTGTGGGCTGAGGGAAGGGGGGGGGGCT